AAACATTTAAAAAAAAAAAGTTAATACCTATTCTCAAACTGTTCAAAAAAAAAAGGAGGAAAACTTCCAAACTCATTTTATGAGGCCAGTATCATCCTGAGAACCAAAACCACATAAACATACCACAAGAAAAGAGAACTATAGGCCAATTTCTCTGATGAACATAGATGCAAAAATCCTCACCAAAATACTATCAAACTGAATCCAACAATACATTTTAAAACATCATTTACCATGACCAAATGGGATTTATTTCCAGGTTGCAAGTATGGTTTAATATTTGCAAACTAATCAACATAATACATCACATCAATAGAAAAAGGATAAAAACCATATGATCATTTTAACAGATACAGAAGAAGCATTCAGCAAAAAATACCATTCAGATAAAAATGCCTTCAACAAAGTAGGTTTAGAGGAAGAACATACCTCAACATAATAAAGGCCATCTATGAAAAACCCACAGCAAATATCATACTCAAAGAGGAAAAAACTGAGAGCTTTTCCCCTAAGGTCAGGGACAAGACAAGGATGTCCACTTTCACCACTTTTATTCGACATAGTACCAGAAGTCCTAGCCAGAGCAATCAGACAACAAAAAGAAATAAAAGGCATTCAAATCAGAAAGGAAGAAATAAAACTGTCACTGTTTGCAGATGACATGATACTTTATATAGAAAACCCAAAGTCTCCACCAAAAAAATACTAGAATTGATAAAATGAATTCAGTAAAATTGCAGGATACAAAATCAATGGGCAGAAATCTGTTCCATTCCTATACACTATTTTTTTTTAAGATTTTATTTATTTATTTGACAGACAGAGATCACAAGTAGGCAGAGAGGCAGGCAGAGAGAGTGGAGGAAGCAGGCTCCCTGCAGAGCAGAGAGCCTGCTGTGGGGCTCGATCCCAGGACCTTGGGATCATGACCTGAGCTGAAGGCAGAGGCTTTAACCTACTGAGCCACCCAGGCGCCCCGATTCCTATACACTATTAATGAAGTAGCAGAGATTAAGAAAACAATCCCATTTACAATTATGCCAAAGATAAGAAACCTTGGAATAAACCTATTAAAGAGATAAACAGTCTGTATCCTGAAAACTGTAAAACACTGATGAAAGAAATAGAACAACACAAAGAAATGGAAAGAAGTGCCATGTTCAAGTGTTGGAAGAACAAATATTGTTAAAAAGTCTATACTACCCAAAGCAATCTACAGATTTAATGCAATCCCTATCAAAATACCAATAGCATTTTTCACAGAACTAGAACAAACAATTCTCAAATTTGTGGAACCACAAAAGACCCCGATAGCCAAGGAATTTTGAAAAGGAAAGATGGAGGCATCATGATTCCAGACTTCAAGTTATATTACAAAACTATAATAATCAGAACAGTATGGTACTGGCACAAAAATAGACAAAGTTCAATGGGACAGAACAGAAAACCCAATTATATGGTCAATCTTTGACAAAGCAGGAAAGACTATACAACGGGAAAAAGTCTTTTCAACAAATGCTGTTGGGAAAACTGGTCAGAAACATGTAAAAGAATAAAACTGGACTACTTTCTCATACCATATACAAAAATAGACTCAAAATGGTTGAAAGACCTAACTGTGAGATCTGAAACCATAAAAATCCTAGAAGAGCACAAAGAAGATATTTGCAAATAACATCCCCAATAGAGTTAGTATCCATAGAAAGAACTTATACAACTCAAACACCAAAAAATCCAAATAATCCAATTGAAAAATGGGCAGAAGGTATGAACAAACATTTCTCCAAAGATCTAGATGGCCGAGAGACTCATGAAAAGATGTTCAATATCACCCATTATCAGGGAAGTGCAAATTAAAATCAAACTGAGATATCATCTCACATCTGTCAGAATGGCAAAAACACAAGAAACAACAGGTGCTGGTGAGGGTGTGGAGAAAAAGGAACCCTCTTGCACTGTTGGTAGAAATGCAAACTGGTGCAGGCCCTCTGAAAAACATACAGCGTTTCCTCAAAAAGTTAATAGAATTAACTACAATCCAGGAATCACACCACTGGGTATTTACCCAAAGAACACAAAAACACTAATTCAAAGGGATACACGCACCCCTATTTTTATAGCAGCATTATTTGCAATAGCCAAATTATGGAAATAACCCAAGTGTCCATCAGTACATAAATGGATAAAGAAGTGGTATATGTATATACAATGGAATAGTAATCATTTAAGAAAATGAAATCTTGTAATTTGCAAGGACGTAGATAGAGCTAGAGAGTATAATGCTAAGTGAAATAAGTCTGTCAGAAAGACAAATACCACATGATTTCACTCATATGGAATTTAATGAGCAAAGGAAAAAAAGACAAACCAAGAAACAGATTCTTAACTCTATAGAAAAGAAACTGATGGTTACCAGAGGGAAGGTGGGTGGGGAATGGGTGAAATAGATGAGGATTAAGGAGTGCCCTTGTGATGGGCACCAGGTGATGTATGGAATTACTGAATCACTATATTGTACACCTGAAAATATAACACTGTACGTTAACTATATTGGAATTAAAATCTTAATTTTGCAATAGGATGGATGAAAAAAAATCTATTTTCATTGCTTCAATACCCACTTTATGCTAAAAATTTCCAAATCCTTAAAACTCTCTCTCTCCCCTGAATTCTACACAGGTCCATATATAAAATGCCTTGTTGACATCATCTGTGTTGATTATTTTTTTAAAGATTTATTTATTTGACAGAGAGACACAGCAAGAGACAGGACCCTAGGGGGAATGGGATAGGGAGGAGCAGGCTTCCTGCTGACCAGGGAGCCTGATGCCCCTAAGATCCCAGAACCCTGGGATCATGACCTGAGCTGAAGGCAGTTTAATGACTGAGCCACCTAGGCACCCTGACATCATCTGTATTTAGCTGTCTCCTTAAAATGATCTCTTCCCTCTTCATCCTTTCTCCCCAATCATTTTCTCCAGTTATAGTCTCCATTTTGGTAAAATTGTTCCAACAATCCACCCACTCAAGCCAGAAATCTAGGAGCCATTCTTGAGTGTTCTTTTCTCTCACCATGAATATAGCCAACATTTATTTAGTACCCATGACATGCTTTCCAGTCAACGTTGATCCTATTTCTGGATTCCACCTAATGGTCTAATCCCATTTGCCATCATAATTTCATCTAGATTACTAACAGCCTCCCGCTGGTCTCTATTCCTTGCACCTTCTCCCATTTAGTCTATCGTCCATACTGGGGCTAGAATTCTCTAAAAAGTAAGTAAATCTTAAAATGTCACCAGCCTGCTCAAGCTTCAAGGTTTCCCTTTTCGACCATAGGAAAATCTATCATCTTTAACACTGTTTACAAGGCCCCTGTGGGTCTGTCTCACCAACATATCTTTAGTTCTCAAAATGCTATAATCTCGTTGCCTCTCAATGTACTGTACACTTGGTTAAGAACTCTCAGACTTCATATTGCTTCCTACAGGTCACTAGCTTTCCTTAACCGCCCCTGTTCTTCACATCTCTTAACACTCGGAACTCTGCACCCAGGCAATTAACTGTACAAAATATCTACCTCCTCTATCAGACTAAGATTAGGAAGGCAGAAACCACCCACCCCTTGTTCACCACTTGATTTCCCAGTCCCCAGCACAGCGCTGGCTCTCAATAAATGTCTGTTGAAATAATTACACTCATTCCTGCACAAAGCTAGCTATTTGAGTCTTCCCCCTAATTCCCCACTCTATTTTCTTCTGAGAGAAGAAAGTCACCTCTGGACCCGTTCTCCTCCGAGAGCATTTTTTGTTTTCAGGTGAATGAGTGACTGACCCAGCCAAGCGAGGCTGATCGTAAGTCCCCGGCCTCTTTAAGCGCGGGGGTTGGGAGTGGAGAGCTGGAGTACTACCATCACGCGTAAAAAATCCAAGCAGATCCAGGTCCTGAGCCCAGCAAACACGTGCTGCCTGCGGAGCGTGGAGAGGGCGGGCACCCGGGAGGAAGGTCCCAGGCTGCCTGAACGTGCTCGCGCCCGAGGCCGCCGCGGCGCGGCCGTCAGGGTCTCGGAGCGAGCGCACGTGCGCCGGCCAGACCCAGCGGAGGCAGCGTCCGGGCACTCGCGAGGAAATGGAGGGCGAGGCGCTGTTCAGAGCTAGGGAACAGTGTGGGCTGAGTTTCGCCCCGAAAGGGAAGAGCGAGGAAGGAGAAGCTCTGACGGCCGGAGAGGAGAAAGGGAGGATCACGAGCTAGGTAAGGCTGGCCAACCTAAAGCTTGGGAGGAAAGGGGGGCGGGGCTGGAGGAGTCGCGGAATAAAAGCGCACGAGGAACGAGTAGCGAGCTTATTCCGAAGTCGGGGTCGGAAGCGCTCACACCCGGGGGCCCGCGGTGGGGAGGTGGAAAGGCGGTGGTTTAGGAACCCCGCCCCGGGTACAGCCGGGCTCAGGGCTGACCCCCCCCCCCCCCCGACCGGACTTCCTCCTTCTAGCGTTAGCGGCCGCGGCCTCACCCTCGGCCAGCGTCGAACCCCCCGGTTGACTCCGCCCGCTACTAGTCGGGCGGGTGGGGGTGGGGCCCGTTTCCTCAGTGGTCGACGCTTGGTCGGCGTCCGCGTCAGCCGGAGCCCAGCGCGTGACGCAGCACGTCGACGTAAGTGACGCGCAGACCCGGGCCGCTCCTCCTTCCTTGAGTGAGTGCCGGCCGGGTCGGGGCGGGGGAGAAGAGGGAGGGCGGGGGAGGGAGAGGCGACCCGGGAGTCGTTGTGGGCCGCGGGCCGGACCGGGTCCCTGGGCGGCGGGAGCCAGGGCCGGGCAGAAGGGCTTGGCGGGCCGTTAGGGGGCCGCCACGGCTGTCGGGTCCCTTCCTCTGCCGGACTTGCGCGCCCCGGCGCCGGGAGCCTCCGGCGCTCTGCCCACCCCGCTTCAGCTCGCGTCTCCCGACTCCAATTAGGTCAGGCTCGGAGTCCCGCGGCCGCGGCTCCGGCCCCCAACGCGCGGCGGCCACCCGGCTCGCCTTTCTTTCTTCCCTCGCCTTCCTCTCTTCTTGCCTCCCCCTCCCCCCCTTTCTTTTCATGTAGCTTGGGTTTTGTTTTTTGTTGTTTTAGGCTTTAGGGGTTTTGTGCCTTAGCCTGAGCTCATGGGTGTACATTATCATGCTCCTCTTTTGTAGAGCAACCCGACGGCCATGGAGGCCGAAGAGACGATGGAATGCCTTCAGGAGTTCCCGGAACATCATAAAATGATCCTGGACCGATTGAATGAACAGCGAGAGCAGGATCGGTTTACTGACATCACCCTGATTGTCGACGGTGGGTAGAGTGGTGGGCAGAGTAGCGAATTTGTGGCTTCCGTTCTTATCTCCCCTTCCCCCACCCGCCTTTTATACCCCCCTTGTATGGCCTGTGCCTATTGAGTGTGCGCTGGGACCTGGCAGGGACTTGTCAGTGCCTACTCACTGTAGACCATGTTGCAGAAGGCTAGTTGGCTGGTCATGCTTTCAACATAGTCTTAGCTTCTTTGCCGCCTTTGTACGTTTTCCCATTGCACCCTTGAGTGCAAGATGATGGTGTTGGCGATAGGGAGAATATCTCTAAATTTTTGGCTTATAGCCTTACATACATAAGCTGTTTTGAGGAGACTTTCACAGCGATCATCTGGGAAGTGTTGATTCTCTCTAGTTTCCCAGATGGTCTTGGAGGGAGAATGTGAGATTCCTTTGCAGCACTGGTACCCTCTTTGGGAAACCTCAAATCAAATGGGGTCTTTACCAGTATTAGGAGTTGTCCTTATAATGGAGGCAAACGCAGCTTGGGTATCTTTTCTATTTAGTGAAAATAGGCATCTCAAGGCAGGCTATTCTTTATTATAGATCTGCTGTATTGTAGGTCTACCGCTTCCAAATATTAGGCATTATTATGTTTTCCAGAGCAAATACATCCAGCTTTATGCTTATTCTATGGCTTTTTCTTCTCTCTTTCCAAGTGATGTATGTAACATTTTGGGTTGTGTTTATTCTCTTTCCAAGTGATGTATGTAACATTTTGGGTTGTGTTTATAATTAGGAGTTTTACATGAATAGGATTTACTTTGGACTCTCTTAAGTGGTAAGAAGCTCTGTACCGAACCTCTCTTAGTTTTGTAAACTGGGTTTTATAAAACTGACCTAATAAAGTCTTTGAGGTAAAGATCTGTCTTCGTGTCTAATTAAAATTGAAGTTTGTCGAGATAGCTACTAAGAACATTCTGACTTTAGTTCAGTAATTGATATAGTATTGTGATTATATTATGGAGAAAGGTCTGCTTTATATAATTTCCTACTTTGTTTTTTGGTTTTACTTTTGATTTTTGAATATATGTGATTCTCTTTTTTTTTTTCTTTTCTTTTTTCTTTTTTTTTTTTTTTCTTTTTAATCTAGGACACCATTTTAAGGCCCACAAGGCTGTTTTGGCTGCTTGCAGTAAGTTCTTCTACAAATTCTTTCAGGAGTTTACTCAGGAACCTTTGGTGGAGATAGAAGGTAAATGCTTATTTTAAATATAATACTTAGCAAACATTATAATTGTTGAAGAAGTGTTAGTTAATTTAGGAGAATACCATGGGAAATAGGCATCAATGGTTCCTATTAGGTGACTGGATAAATTGTTCTTTTGACACTTGAGAATTCTTAGTTTTAGTAAAGTTCTTGGTAAAATGATCTGTCAGGAAAACTCTTACATTAGATGGTAGATGTTGGTCTCTTAAAGGAGTCTTTTCCACTTCTAAAACCAGTGGTCACTCTCTTTGGAAAATTTGTATTAAAAGTGAATCCCATCTTTGTTCAGTGGGCCAAAGTTTCAGACTGGTTGGGATGCTGCAGGTTACAGTAGAAGGTTCTTTATTAGCAAAGGTATATATGACACGCACAAAATGAAATGGGCTGCCATAATACGGAAAAGGCTAGGAAAGATGAAGTCACATTCAGAAGTTCTAGTGGTTAGAGTCAGGGATGGAAGGAATCATTCAGTAGATACGGCCTTAAAGTAGAAAATGATTTTGATTTTTTTATAATAATAGCTTCCCTAAGTGCCAGCTATAGTGCTTTGCGTTTGTGTGCCTTTTCTGAGATTTGCCGCAATCCTTTGAAATAAGTGGTATTATTTCCAATTTACACATCAGGGAACAGGCTATAAATTGTTAGTTGCTCAGCATTGTCCAGCTAGCAAGGGATTCACTTGACGCTATTAATTACTATGCTTTTGGCTTATACTGCTACATTAGCTATCCCTCCCTGTTGTTCAAAACTGTAGGAAATAAATAAGCTTGCCTACATAAATACAGAATTTTAGTTCTTTCAGTGTTCTTGGATTTTTATCTTTTTGACGGTGTATATATTCTTTGTTATGAATGAGTTGCCTAGAAACGCTATTCCCTTGGGGAAATTTGGTGCCCCGGGGAGTAAAGAAAATGAAAAAGTTAAGCACGTTCCTCTTTTGGGTACATTTCAATTTACCTAACATTCTGGCTGATACATCCATAGATAATCTTTTCATTATCTGTGATGGACAGAGCCACAGGCATAATGGAAATCCACAAAGCTTACTAAAGTGAGAATCTAGCTGCCTGTACACTATTGGTTTCTATTACAGGGCAAGATTTCATCCATTCATTTACCTGAGGTACTATGTGATGCCATGCAAGTTATTTTACTTCAGTTGCATATTTTCCTCCTCATCTGAAGAGGCCTTATTACTTTATAGGCTTGTAATGATTAATTGAAATAACATATGCAGAGTGCTGAGCGTAGTGTTTGATGCATTGTCAAAGCTTTATAAATTGGGTCTGTTTGTCAAATTGAATACCTGTTAGGTGTTGTGCACTGTAGTAGAATCAGGAAGTGAAGAACTGATGAATAAGATAGCCCTTAAAGAATTTGCAGATTTAATCACAGGTGACCAATAGGTATAGAAAGGAATACCAAAAGTGTTGCAGAGACTTTTATTGTGGAGTGATGTAGCTGAGGAGAGAGAATGAATAATCTGGTCTACTTTAGAGAGAGGAACAATTTTAAAAAGGAGTTGACTTAAGTTTTTGGGTTTTTTTTTTTTTTTAAGATTTTTTATTTATTTATTTGACAGAAAGGGAGAGCACAAATAGGGGGAGTGGCAGAGGGAGAAGCAGGAGATTCCATGGAGCAGGGAACCCGATGTAGGGCTTGATCCCATAACTTGGGATCATGACCAGAGCCTAAGGCAGATGCCCAACCGACTGAGCCATCCAGGTCCCCCTGACTTCTGCTTTTTAGGCAGAATCTTAAACAGTCAAAAAATCAGTGGCCCTTGGTGGGGAGGGAGAGGGTGGTGGGATTATGGACATTGGGGAGGGTATGTGCTATGGTGAGTGCTATGAAGTGTGTAAACCTGGCGATTCACAGACCTGTACCCCTGGGGCTAATAATACATTATATGTTTATAGAAAAAAATTAAAAAAAACAACAACAACAACAACAACAAGTGGCCCAGGCTAGAATATGCATTGCTTTTGGAGCAAAGAGTATATCTGGAGAAATAGGATCTTCTCTTCTAGAGACTGATCACCTTGAGATTGTTTCTTGTGCCTTTTAGCGCCTGTGACCTACTATCTTCATTATAGTGTATCACTTAGAAGCTTTATGGACAAATGAGAAAACAATGTAAGAACATTTCTGTTTTTGTTACTTGCCAGATTCAGGTTTAAAAAAATCATTTTGGCTCAGTTTTTTTTTAAGCCATTAACTTTGGAATCACTGTACAACCTGTCTAGGTCACCTGGCTATAGAAAAAGCCTGGCCATGTAATTTGAAAACCCAAGTTTCCTTTACTGTTGTCATTTGTATAAGCTTGGACCTGTTGGCTAAAATATATATATATTTTAATATATAGGATACATCAAGTAATTTTGCATTATGTCATGACATTTTGAATTTTATGATACTCTGTTGTTAAAATCCTCTGAAGAATACATTTTATTTTGTTTGGATTTGGGTTTGCTTTGTTTCTAGCAGGCAACCTGCTTTAGGTTCAGACTGCCTTATGTGGACTGTGGATGTAATTCCAATTTTGTTTTCAAAACTTTTGTTGTGTTCAGGTCCCAGGTGTGCTCAGCATCTGGGTGGTAGTCAGCATCATAGTGCAGTACTCAGACCCTTTGCTGTGCTGCCTCAGCTCAGTTCTGCATGAGTAGCTCGGTGGCTAGAGCAGAACTTATTCACAGAGGACCTTTCTCTAGTTCCTTCTTCTGACTTCTTCTGCACTTTACCTCCAAGGAGTAATTTTTCATGCTTGTCTGGCTAGAAAACTGGGGTTTTAGCTTCCGTGTGCTGTCATATGCTTCCCACAGTGGGATCTGTTTCCTAAGACAAAGCAGTGAGAGAAAAAAAATTAAGATTTCTCTCCATGCTCTTCAGGTCATAGTATGTTTCCTAGCTCTGTCAGAAAGAAAAACTTTCTCTAAGGATTAGTACCTGCTTGGTGGCCACCAGCCACCAGTGTGCAGCATCAGAACTGGAACTTGCTTTGAGGCAGGGCTGAGAGGAATAAAAACCAAGTATTTCCGGACCTGCTTATATTCTCCATTCCCTTTTCTGGTTCTCTAGCCAGAAAGAGTTTCTTCTGCAGCTTTTTTGTCTGTTGCTGCTACCTAGGAGTGGGATTGGGGCTGTCTTCAAGTCAAGTTGAGATATGTGGGAGGAAAAATAAAATCCCAGGAAACTCACTGCTGTTCTTTGAGTTTTGATTTCTCTCCCCACTCTGCTTGTTTCTGTTTGTCTTTCAGAATCCTTATCAAATGTATTCAGAATACATTTGCTTTATGTATTCTTCCCAGGACTTATGATTGTAAGCAGTGGACAAGATGGAGTATGGGGAGTGGATGAGTGTGTTTTCTTCCTCTTAGCTAGAATTGGAACCCCCATCTTTAAAATATGAATAATGACCTCACTCTATAGATCTAGAATGCTACCCTTTTTTGCTTCTTCCTAAGTGAAAAAAGGAAGATTCAGGTTAAGGTGTTCATATTAACAGTTTCTTTAGATACTCAGAAAAATTGTGTTCTCAAGCACACTTCTGTTATAAAAGGAGCAAGGGATTAATTAGTAAGTGGGCTGGGATTTGAAAGTTACCAGACTTGTCCTGATGGGGAATGGTGTCTTCATAATTGCATCTGTCACCATGTCACTTACCTGGGCAGGTGTTACCAGCTTAGTTCATGTTAGCTGATCAGATCAGTGATTTATTCCTAGAACTAATGCTGGACTGGCAACTTAAGCACCTAAGATGCTTATTTAAAAAAAAAAAAAAATTGCCTGTCCCACTTTTGATTCTGGAGATCAGAGACCCATCCTTTTATTAAGTCTGCAGTGATTCTGATTAACCAAAATTGGGAATTAAGTCTACAGTTCCTTATTCAAATCCTTGGAGGCCAGATGTTTCTTGAAATTACAAATTTTCTAAAGGTAATGCAGTCTGTGTAATGTGATACTCCCAGTGGGGTCTAGGGTGACATCCTATAACCAAATAGTATTTTGGAAGAGTAGCATATTAATATTTACTCTAAGTGGGATAAAGACTATAAATAGCCCCATGTCAGTTCAAATCAAAATTTCCTTCCAAATTTATGGGAAAACTTCAGTCTTAAGAGATTTGGGGGACTTTGGAATTACGAGTAAGAGATTATAAGCCTGGGGCGCCTGGGTGGCTCTGGGTTGAAGCCTCTGCCTTCAGCTCAGGTCATGATCCCAGGGTCCTGGGATCAAGCCCCACGTCGGGCTCTCTGCTTCCCTTCCTCTCTCCCTGCCTGCCTCTCTGCCTACTTGTGATCTCTGTCTGTCAAATAAATAAAATCTTAAAAAAAAAAGAGATTATGAGCCTGCAGTGAATGAAGTCATAGGTATTCAAACTCTTCTAAGCCTGAATGTTTCCTGCTGTCATCTTATGTAAAAATCTTTTTTTTTTTTTTAAATGTATATATCTTTATTTTGAACTTAGAAGTCGGGCCATCTGGGGTTGAGTCTAGTTTTCATCACTCCAGTAACTTGCCAAAGTCAAAATTATTAATTTCTGTGCCTCAGTTTTTCTATCTGTAAAATGGAGGTTACAATAAAGTTCTCTATAGGATTGTTGTGAGTATTGAGTTAGTAATTGTGAGGTGTTTGGAGTTGTGCTTGGTATTTGTAGTGTTGTTTGTGTGTGTTTGATTAAAAATCAAAATCTCATTCCACTTCAAGAAAAATTTACATGTTTTTAGAATGGACTTTTGCACTTTTAAATATTTGGTTAAAACTCCTTAAATTTTTTTATATTTTAAATTTTATTATACTCCTATAATAAAGAATAACATGGTCAAAAGAATAACCAGGAAAAAAAGATTTAGGAGACTCAAAAGTAACCTTCAAAGAATCCAGTTATTTTAGTTTGCTTTTTCAGGTATATAAAGTACATAGGAAGAATGTAAAAGTATTTTTATATTTGTAGTTGTGTATATTGTATGCAGTTTGGACATGGCATTTTTTAGTGTGAAAATTCTGTGTTAAAAGTAGTTTTCTTTTGGAACACCTGTCTGGCTCAGATGGTGCAGCATGTGACTCTATATCAGGGTTGTAGGTTCAAACCCCAAGTTGGGTGTAGAGATTATTTAAAAGTCTTTTAAAAATAAACTAGTTTTCTCTTTGTTTCAGTAGATTTTTGTAGCCTTGCATTAGCAGATTGAAATAATAATATATAGCATTGAAGAGCACAAAGAAATAGAGTATCTTTTGGGCCAACATTTAAAACTAAAACTTGTAAAGAAAAGTTGGAATTATGGAAGCTTAATTTTAAAAGTGACTTTAGCTCTTCTTCATTCCTACTTTGTGTGTCTGCATTTTAGGGAGCATTGTGTTAGATACTGTGAGGTGAGTGTACAGAGACAAAAATCATTTCCCTCTCGCTTAGAGTCAAGAGATGCCCATGAGTTGCAATTGTCCAACAAGTACAGAGTTCACCTGGGGGTTGGGGGGAAGGGTAGACCATTAAAGTTTCATTTAGTATGTGGCATTAGAATTGAGCCTTCAAGGGTGGTAGGATTTGTACAAAGATAAAGTGATTAAACATTCAAATAGGAGGGTACGTGTTAATAAAGACAAGGAAGTTTTAGAAGTGAAGGATTTGAAGATCAGTATATAGTATGGGATTTATAGAGTTTAAAATTTGGAAGGAAAGATAGTGGTAAATAGAGAAATAATGTGAAGTACCTTGAAATAAAGGCAGAGTGGTATGGAACTTTATTTGCTGAACTGTGGAAAGCCCTTGAAGATTCGGAGCTAAGTTGATGGAGAGATCCTTGCAGTAAAGTACCATGTCTGTCCTGTAATAGCCCATTCATGTATTTGAGTAGGTAGGTAGGTCATAAGGGCCTTAGAAATCTTTGGGAAAGATCTTAAAGCACTTTGGTAGTTATTGCTGGAACTTGGTACAGTCTTACTGTACCATTAATGAAAATTCCACCAGGAGATAATTTTCCAAAATTTAGATACTAATCAGGTTTTGAACACTGTGCTTTTTTTTCTTTACTAACGTTAGAACATTTGAATCAATGTGAGTACATGCTAATGGACATCTCTTTTTCTACAGGTGTTAGTAAAATGGCCTTCCGTCATTTAATTGAGTTCACATATACAGCAAAATTAATGATACAAGGAGAAGAAGAAGCCAATGATGTATGGAAAGCAGCAGAGTTCCTACAAATGCTAGAAGCTATCAAAGCCCTTGAAGTCAGGTAATTACTTTCTTAGTGATACAGTTATACTCAGTCGTGTACACCTTGTTAGTCAAGATTTTATTATATGCCATAAACAACTGACGTTTTAAAATTAAGACTATTTAAGGATCTGTAAAATTCTGGATACTGATTGCTCTTTGTCTCACACTTGATTTCTCGTCCTTATGTAAAAACTGCTAAGGTTAACTAAAGTAGCATGTTTTGTGTCTAGTGAGGAGGACTAGGCAGCATTTAAGGAGTTATCTGGGTCCCTGTAAACTGTTCCGTTGGATTTGAGTTATTAATTGCATGAAGCCTTACTCTAAAAAAGGTTTGGCTTACCAAGATTAACCTAATACTGTTTAAAAATAAGTGAGGAGGGGCGCCTGGGTGGCTCAGTGGGTTAAGCCTCTGCCTTCGGCTCAGGTCATGATCTCAGGGTCCTAGGATCAAGCCCCGCATCGGGCTCTCTGCTCAGCAGGGAGCCTGCTTCCTCCTCTCTCTCTGCCTACTTGTGATCTCTGTCTGTCAAAAAAAAAAAATCTAAAAAAAAAACCGTGAGGAAATGGATGAAGATTAATAGACGAGATGGGGGCGATAATCAGTGAAGTTAGAAATATGGTAGCCAGGGACGCCTGGGTGGCTCAGTGGGTTAAGCCGCTGCCTTCGGCTCAGGTCATGATCCTAGGGTCCTGGGATCGAGTCCCGTATCGGGCTCCTTGCTCAGCAGGGAGCCTGCCTCTCTCTCTGCCTCTGCCTGCCTCTCTCTCCGCCTCTGCCTGCCTCTCTGCCTGCTTGTGTGCTTTCTCTCTCTCTCTCTTTCTGACAAATAAATAAATAAAATCTTTAAAAAAAAAAAAAAAAAGAAATATGGTAGCCAGTACACCTGCTGTTTAAGTCTGTATACTTGCTGGATGGGCTAAATCGCGCTCTGAACTCTAAAGCACCTAGTGCAAAGAGAAAGGAAAGAAAAATCCTAAGTTACATTATGCATGGTTATGAGAGCAAACCAGTTGCTTAGAAGCAATTCCTGGTATTAAGACAGAAAATTTCTCATAGAGATTATGTATTAAGTGATACATTAAATGATATAACGAATAAAGACTTCCAGTGTCTTACATAATGAATATTGGCACCGTAATATAGTGACTAAGAACAAGAGTTCTCGAGTCTGGTAACCTGGGTGGTATCCTAGCTCTACCACTGTGTGACCTTTATGAAGTTACTCGACCTGTCAGCAACTTCACTTCCTCATCTGTCAAATAGGGATAATGGTCCTTTCTACCATAGGATTATTTGTGAGGGTTAAATGAATTAATGCATCTAAAGTACTTAGCATGGTATCTGGCATATAGTATTCCAAATTGAACTGGTCTTACAATTTTATATCTCCTGGCTCTGTTTCTTATGACCTTAGTGTAGTCATTGGCATAACACTGAAGTGCAGTTTGGTGAACTCAATTAGAAACGGGGCAACATGATTTAGTCCAACTCACTGGTGTGGTTCAGTCAAAAGATGTAATTTAGAATAATTCTAAGAAATAATTGAACTGTAATCATCCATAAGTACCATTTTTCCATTTTAATTAGTTTGATGACAGAATTCAAGATTAATCCAGGAGCTTGGTGTGTATGTATTCTCTGATGCCTAGTGCCTGGCACATAGTAGGTGTGTGGCACACATTTGTGAATGGATGCATGGGTGCATGCTGATTAAAACCGGATCAGCACTCTCCTGTAGGGATAGCTGAGACATGTGCAACAAAATTGAGGTGTGTTGAGGATATATATCGGATGATGCCATACTTTTTCAAAATGCAAGTAAAGGGAATACAGTATGGATGGGGCAACATCAGATTTGTGGTTAAATTCTGGATGAGAACCTTTTGGAAAAATGTTCTATCTGTGTGGTCCCTTTGCTCAAAGTAGTGAGTAGTATCTCACTGTGGGGAAAGTCCTTGACAGCAGAACAGTGGAACATATTCTGACAATACCCTAGGTTGGATTTGGGAGGGTTAGGAATTGAATTCATGTGTATAGTCATTGGGAGATGAAGGTAAGAACAACTGGGCTCAGCTGTTTTCCCAGGCCTGCCTATTTAGAACCTTTCAGAAGATTTATTATCATAAGAGTGGGATCCTTATAGTAATTAAAACCATAAGTGAATGCTTTCAATATAAATACAGTTACATGTTGAATTGTTTCTTGAACCAGTTCGGCATGCAGTATACTCTGAAGAGTTCTTTACAAACAGGAAGACAGCAGCTTTGTGTATTGGCAGTTTATAATAATGCAATTTAGAAATAAAAATTAATTTAGTTGTGGTTAAATTGACTGATTAAGACAACTCTGTATTGAGATTATTATATAATGTTTTGCAGATTCAAAAGGTGAATTAGGTGCTCTGCTCACATCCGCAGTATGCAAGTATTTTTGGAATATAGCGTCATGTTTTTGAATGACACTGAGGAAAGTATGAGGACCTTATTTTGCTTTGCTGGAGTTGCATTATTGTTTGTTTGAAGCTGTGTAGGACAGAGTTCTTGATAATTTGTTAGGAAGCAGCAGTTGCCTTATAGATTTTTCCTCTCCAGCCTGTTGGTGCAATTTACATGTAAAACAGTTCACCAGATTAATACCACGTTTGAATTTTGGCAGTTGTGTACAGTGGTGTAATCCCTACCATAATCAACACATGGGAACATTTCCATCATCCCAGGTTTTCTCATGACTGTTTAGTGAGCCCTCATCCCCAGCCTCATTTATCCACTGATTTGATCTTCATCACTGTAGTTGTATTTTATTTAGAATATCATATAAATGGAGTGTAGTTTTTGTGTTGGACTTTTTTCACTTAGTGTTATGTTTTAGAGGTTTGTCAGTGTTGTGGATATTAGTATTTTGTTCTCTTTTATTACCAAGTGGTATTCAATTGTATGGCTGTACCACCTGTTGATGGTGTTTCCACCTATTACAAATAAAGTGGCTATTCTTTCATTTCTCAGTAAGTATCTAGGAGTGGAATAGCTGGGTTGTATAGTAGGTATATTTAATTTTTTTTAAGCAACTGCTAAACTGTTTTCCAAATTGTTGTGCCATTTTACATTCCAACTCGCAGTATTTGAGAGTTCCCGTTGCTCCACAGCCTTGCTAATTCTTGGTATGATCAGGCCTTTTCATTTTACTGTGCTAATAGGTATATAGTGGTTTTAATTTGCATTTCCCTTACAACTAATGATGAGAATTATTTCATGTGCCTTTTTGCTGTATGTTTATCTTCTTTGGCAAGGTGTCTGTTCAGATCTTTTGCCCATTTTTAAATTGGGTTATTGTCAAGAACTGTGAAGGGTCTGAGATTTATCCTATTCACAAGCTATAAATTGGCCTGCCAGTTTTTTTGGATGCTGGCAGAAGACATGAGACTCCTGAGCCAGAGAGAAGGGCCTTCATTTCTCTTACAGCATAAGGAGCAGCATGAACTCCATGCTTATACCAGTTTTTCTTGCCCTTCTCAGCGCCCTCCCCAAATCCCTTAGGGGTGACAGCAGTCGCCTAGGTGTGTGCCGTTTGTATTCATAGTGGTTTACATCACATTTGAGGAACACCTGGCTTTAGGAAACAAGTTTTTTATAATGAGGTGCAAGCAAACCTGCCTAGAGGGGCCATTATCTTCATTATACTGGGCAATAATTGAAACTGTCCTCCACTTGAGAAGATGAGCATTCTCTTCTAAGGCTATTTGCTGTGAATACAACCTTGAAAAGATCCAGAACAAAAGGTGTCTTTGTTTACAAGACTTGCAGAAACATGAGGGATCCATGGAGAGTTATCTTCCAACAATATCCTTGTTTCTACATTATTTTAGCTTCTGGTAAATTTTTCCAAGAGTATACTACTCTGTGACCCCCTGATTGATCTGGTCAATAGGGACTGGTCCTAATCCATTCAGTTTTTTTTTTTTTTTTTCACACTGGATTTAATTAAGGCAGCTATCAACAGAACTTGAAGCAACAGGATGTGGTCACCCTGCAGCGCTGAGCTTAACCATCCACTCACTCCCCTGAGGTCCTGGACTCAACCAACTTAGAAAGCCAGGTAGCTTTTATCTTTAGTCTTTGTGTTGACTTTTCCACTTAGCGGTAAGCATTAATCCAAGTATAGCAAGATCTTTTTGCACTTGCACAGTCTCTGCATTGGCCCACTGGGAGGAAGTCTAGGGTGTCTATCATCCATAATAACCCTAACCAGTGATTTGAGGCTTACATGAATGACTTCCAGGGCCCAAGTGGTGTCATTGATCACATCAGCTTAAATCAGACACAAATTTTGTGTCACCTTTTTAATTGGATGATTCCCATTGTAGGGAAAACTACCCAAGGAGCACACGTAAATAACAAGTCAGTTATTCTTCCAGGAAACTCCCCAAGTACCCAAAAGTTGCCTTGTTTTTGGAGAGATCATTACTTCTGTCATCTGAGAACTAAACTGATCTGTTAGTGGTGTTTCCTTAAAAACTAGATGATCTCTTCTGCCCACCCCTGAAGCACAAGTCATCATACTTTTGGGGAGGGAAGTTAGTACCTGGCTCTAGTACAAGAAATATGTTCCCTAGGGCATATAGGTGAGTTGGAAAGAAAGTGTTGTTTACAATGGTTTGTGCCCAGAATAGGGCCATCATCATTCCTGGGGCAGAAGCCTCAAATGTGGATTCCCCCTTTCCTGGATTGAACCTGGTCATTGTTTTTTTGGAGGGATTGTCTGAAGGCAGTCAGTTCAAACCATTCTTTGTCTTATGCACCTGAATGCCACTTGAGTGGTAACTATCCACCTCATGAACTGAACCTCAGCTTTGGGAATAGCAGTGGGGCAATATGGAACATGTAGGAACTTGGCCATCCCCTGCTGTTTCCAAAAGACTTCTGGGTATAGTTAAGGGAAATGATCATCAAATCATGGTCAGAGTCGTTGGGCAGGGGAGAGTAGATCTAGCAGTTGATTTAAAGTTGCTTGTAATAGTA